TTTCTGTGGCACTTAGCCAGTCCTTAGAGGGGTTGGTAGCACTGTACCACTTGCATATCAGTCACTAGTTGTGTAAGAATTGATACTTATGGCTGTCCATCCTTACACTTTGAGAAACCTCACGTCCGTTATGAAACTGCTCTTATCTTAGTTTTTAGATATGCCTGACGGCAAGCAGAAAAACCTAAAACCAAATGTGACAAAAGCATACTATAAATACTGCCCTCTGAAAAGACAATTGAGCTTTCTTCTAAGATCAAGTAAGGATGCTGTTCCAGGCCAGTTGCTCAGCAAGTTGCTACCAAAATCCTACTTTTCAAAGACACATGTTCTTTGTTCCTTTCAGGAACAAATACCTAAAAAACCTATCCTGAGAAAACCAGAGGAGTTTTTCCAAACTAGAGGGGCAAACCTATCCTCCACAACTCACCAACTACTCAACCAAATACTTTCAGTCTAGTCGATACCTTATTATGAAAAACTTTAACCTCTTTATTCAAAAGTCATATGAGGATGGATCAATCAGGAAAGGAGAAAATACATGAGAAGGAGATTCTGTGCACATGTGGAAAAAAGATCTAGAAGAAAGTGGAGTACATGTGCTGAAGAGAGGTTGAACATGTGTTTCAGTACGAAGCTGTATTACAATTACCACACAAATTGAGTCTGGCATAGAGCTTGTAAACCAGGGTTTGAATAGATTCGTGGAGACTGCACGTACAAACACGTATTGGGGAAATGTTCATGTATCCCCATATTTGTTTTAGTTTTGAAGTGCTGGTGCAATGTGTGTGCATAGGAGGGAATGAAAGCGGATGTCAGTGAAAGAAGGAGAGAGGCAATTTTTGTGGCTATGTTAGCTGAGCAGAAATATATGATTTGTAGTGTGGTGAGAAGCAGTGTTGGAAGTATGATGAAACATCTGGGTTAGAAGATTAATGTAAAGAGAGCACATGAAGAGTCAGACTGAAGAACACAGGAAGGAGAAAGAGCAATAGAAGTCATCCACAGAGATAGGGAACGACAGCACACTGAAGTCAGAAAAGTAGGGGAAAATAACTGTTGCACATTGTAACAAGAGGGAACTTAAAAGGAAAAAAATATTAGAAAGTAAAAATGAGAAAAATAGTGTGAATACATTGAAGAAATGCAAAGAACATGGAGCCAGTTTTAAAAATTGCTTTTGGTAAGTTGGGTTTACCTAGGGTGAGGACTTTGTATTTGGGGGTTATTGATCTTACGGTGTAAAATGCGCTGCAGAGACAGAAAAGGCCTTACAGTCAGTCCCAGTTGCTTGCTACCTCTCATGATTTTTTGATTTTTCTTTTTAACTTGAGCAGTTTTTCTTCATTGCCTTGACAAGCACCTCAAAAAGCAACTCCTCCCATCTGTATCTATGTATCACTGCCTGGTGTTCAAACTGCCCCATTTACTTACTAAAGAAGATTCCCATTTCTTGAAAGTTTTGTAGGTTTTGCCATGTTAAGGAAAATTCTCTGCTATTCCTTGTGCATTTGGTTCCAACATACTTCCATACTATTTCAGTTAGGATTTTCAAGTACATGTGGGATACAAACATAAAGGGTACACTGAAGGGGAACAGAAAGCCACGGAGAAGAAGGAGGTGGAAGTGAATGAAACAAAGTAAGGACAGCCAGCAGAGAGGCTACAAAAAGTGGAACAAAAGAATAGCAGAATATAGAAGAACTTGCTGGGTAGAGGAAGTGACATGCAAACTGAAAGTAGAGTGAAAAATAGAATTTAAAAGGAGAAAATTAGTAGGGAAACAGAAATAGAACAAAATTTGTTCAAGAAATCTAGAATGGTGGGGAGAAAATAGCGAAAACTGTAGGGCAAGGTAGAGAAAAGTAGAAGTGATAAAAATAAGCAGAAGAAAGGCCAGTGAGTAATTTTTTAAAGAATAGAAATTGTCTAAAGTCAGTGTCCACTTACTTATAGGTATTGTTAGGGAAGAGATGCACTATACTGGTATGTAAAGGCTGGGAGGTTGGAAACAATGTTTAGACAGGCACTCCTGCTGGAAGATAGATTTTTGTTTTCTTTAGGCTTTTATTAACACACAGTTAGATTTCTGCAGCTAATTACACTGCTGCACTACTGATCATGTTATGTAGAGTATATTGACATTGAGAGAGGGTGGACAGGAGGCACAATAGGTTCAGTGATGTGTATATAAACATTTCTAGCTACACCCTTATGGGAAAAAGCTCCAACTCTCTCCACACAGAAAACAAGTCAAGACCTTTGAGAAAGTAAGCAACAGATAGGTCTAAGCTGCTAAGATAAGATTTTTAATTCTGTCCAAGAAAGCAGGGAGGGATGCTATGGAAGTCAGAAATTGGTTTATTTTCTTGAATGCCACTTCTGTGTATACACCTCCCCATTTATTTTACTTCAGTGGTTCAGATCTTTGGCCTTTTCTTTGATTAATTTCTACCAGAACCATGTTTAGTTATTCTATATACTTTTAACCCCAGTTTTGCAGCATTATCTGCATTAGCAATTACTTAAGCACGTGCATATGGCCATTGACTTTGCTTGTGTGTATAAGTGCTCACCATTGCTAATAAGGCTTTCTAAAGCTTTTAATTCACAGAATAAATTATTCTTTGGTGTGAACCCATACTTTTTATTGGTTAAGCACAATCAGCTGGGTGGATTTTCTATGTGTTTTAAGAAGAACAACGAAACTGCCCTTTTGCTTTACATTTTCCTGCGCTTAGATTGTACCCTCATTCCTTGTATTTTCTATTTACAGTATCGAATGTAGATAGTTTTAAATGCTTATAAGAGTGAGGCAGAGAACAGTTTAACCTCTGACAAGGGCAGCATTTTTAAATTCAACTGTAAGCATTTAGTTAAGAAAAATCTGTTTCCACTTTCCTGATGGGATACCTTTAAACAAAATGCAGGTTAACTGCATACAGAAAAGCCATGATTTCAGCCTTGCAGAAAATACCAAATCCTGCAGATCCCTATTCACATGAGCAGTCCTTCAAATTGTGAGTCTTTTTCAAGTAGAAAGGAATACTCACGCGATTCTAGGATTTGCAGAATTTGGCCTCCAGCTAACCACTTGGCAAAACTTGTGCCTCCGCAATATTTGTAGTCTCAAGTAAAACCTCCTAAGTGGTTTTTGATTCCTTTTCAGTATTGTGCTGCTTTAGAAAAAGAGACTGCCAGGTGATGAACTTCCCTGGGATTCAGAATGTTTGCAAAAATGATAACAAAACAAGTCCCTAAAAGCTGACCTGTGGAATTTAGAAAAACAATTTTTTACAACGGTGTAACTGAGGGACTAATGACTTCATCTTACTTCCTCTATGGATTTACATGAATGTAAACAAGAAAAAGAATTTAGCTTGGAAAAGCTGATTGAAAATTAAAGAATAACCTAGTCATTTTTAATGGGCCAAATTCTGTAGCCTTACTGGAGCAAAGCTCCTGGTGTTGTCATTTGATACTGAAAGAGTGGTGCTGGACTCGGGGCTGTAGCTCTGTAACAGGAGATGTACATCCACTGGAGTTGGTTTTTTTATTCCCTTTCGTATTGTCAGAAGTGAAGCAAAAGTTTTCCTTTCCTTTGCTGAGTGCAGAGAGGGGCTCCTCTTCTTTCATCCCATTTGATAAGAAGTGCTGCATCACACCAGTGTCTCTTCTTGCCTAGCACAATGAGAATATTTCCTTCTGCCTCAAGCCTACTTTGTTTGGCAGATATTTGAGGGCAATGCATGTGCTAATCTCTCCAGCAATCCTCCTGTGGCCAGTGATGTCACTTCATATGGCTTCGTTACATTGCAAGCCACCACAAAATGGAACTGTATTTAGAATCCTACAGGAAAGAAGATAAAATCCACAGAGCAGGCATTCTTTAAGCAAAGTTCACAGCAGAAGAAAATAAAACAGAGCTACTGTAGTTCACAGCAGAAATACAACTATTCACAACTCCAAGTCATCTCTATCTGATTAGCCAAAGGGATTTGGCAAATGTCCAAAAGGAATGATACGATTATCTTCTTTTGTGGGAATCAACAAACTGGATAAATTTAATTTCTTTCAGAGGCAGACCTCTGTGATTTTTTCTGGGTTTGACAACAACACTCATTCCAAAATTGCTGGATGAAGAACCCCACATCTGAATGATAAATTTTTTTAAATTTGAATATATTTTTACTCTCTTCTAAAATAAGTCTACTGATTTTGCATGAGTCGAATTAGACACCCTAGTAAAGAATATCTTATATTTAAGAATCCTCTAAAATAGCCCCAAAATAGCTGTCCCATGTTTCATAATGCCATAATTTTGCATTCTGCTATCTCCAGAGCTCTCCTTCTCCTGCACTCTTCTCCCTTTGAATCCATCCCAGGTGCAAAACTGAATTCCACTTTATCCAAGACCTATGGTTGTTCTGCTTCTGAAAAGGAATGAATTTTTTTATTTGGCAATTTGTATTTTTGGTTATTTGATTCTTAGTATATTCTAGGTTGCTTCACAGGAGTCACAGAGGTCTAGATGGCATACAGAGCAGAAGGCAGGTGAGACAGTTCATGATAAATGTAATTTATCTCATGAATATCAGCACCTCATTTGTGTACATGTGTGTTTTTGCCGTTGCTGTTTTAATTACTCTTGGTAACAATACTGAGTCAGACACCTGAATGTTTCATTGCAGACAAACCCATGTTATTTATCCATTTTCATTAACCTAATCCTTGCCACGGGCAAGATTTTAACCTTGTAAGGGATTGCAAGCTGCTCATGCATGTAGTTGCTCTTCCCGAGGAACAGACTGTGAACAAACTTAGAGTCATAGTCCTGGTTTGTGTCTTGCTCTCCCTCTCCTGTAAGGGTGGAATAAGAGACACAGCCTCTGAAGGTTCTTTGATACAGATGAAGTTTTACGTGAAGATAGCTTAAGAAAAATAATTCTGGGCTGAGGAGCCTATCTTTCTTAGAGTCACTGTAATTTATTTATTAGGGACAGGAAGAAAGGAAAATACCAGCTCTTGTTCATGATGGAGATAATCGCAGCTTTCACGCAGCCACCCAGGAGAGGTGAGCCCTGTTTGCTCCAGTGACTAATTCCAGCTGAGCAGAGCACATCTCGTCTCCGTTGGCATTTCCCTTTGAAGGACCTTACCACCCAAAACCTGGTAGTTCTCTTTCTTCCTTTCCCTCCAGCAGCGAAGAACCCAGCTCGGTGAAGCCGGAGGCTGGTGATGCACCTCTGCAGGCAGGCAGAGCCAGCTGCCTGCCGCTGGAACGCGGCGCTGCCCCAGTGCTGAGTACTGGCGGCTTACAGCAGAGTTACGGGCAGCAAAGTTGCTATGTTAAGGTACACATTCTTTCTCAACAGAGCTGTTCCCTGCTTACCCTGGAATTAGAGCTGCTTACTTTTCTGACCAAAAGCCTGGTTATACTATTGTTAGCACTGCGGAGCCATGGAGCTCTGGGAGGGTGAGCTGGCTTCTATTCTGTTTTGCACATCATCAACAATATTGTCAGCTAATTTCCTATTGCAGAATCTTTATTACCAGAAATGACCTATGAGGCAGAATGAATATTTTTTACTTTCAAATCTCAGGTGGAAGCTGTAAATCGGCAGCTGGAAAAAACAGATTTTTGACCTGTAAACTCAGCAGATATGATATGGAAGTCATAGAAAATGAAAAATAAGGATCTTAATTTTGTCCCTGTTCAAGAATAGCTGAATTGCAAACACATTTTAAAAGTCTGTTGGTGGGGGGGGGGGGTGTGGGGGTGTTTGTTTGTTTCCTTTTTTTTTTTTTTTTTTTTTTTGGTCATCTGTTCTTTAAGACTTTATTATGTCTCTTGGCTTTAAACTCATTTTGACGCATACAGGTTTTTAACCCTAAAACTGGCATCCTACAAGATGGCAAAAATAATGAGACTGGCCTAAAAATCTTAAGTTCCAGAAAAAATAAGGTGGAATTTTTAAACTTCTAACCTTTTATCAAATTTGTGTTTGTATTTTCAGATCTTACAAATGTCAGGGGTAGAAACACACTTGAAGAAAAAGAGGCTTAAAATGGTCATGGGTTCGTTTACAGCCAAGAATGGCAGTTATAAAGGAAGAAGCAAATATTGAAACACAAGATAAAATCTTGAGACTTTTCAAAACTGAACACCACAGTCCTCCCAGAGCAAGAGCAGCTCTAATTCTGGAGCTCAGACCGCAAATCTCCACTAAGAAGGTAGAGAAAAAATACAGCAAAATAGTGTAATTTCTTAAAAAAGTAAATTAACTTTAACATATCCTGAATAAAGCTCAGCAGCTGGTATGAAAAAAAAACAACCCTGAAGCACTGGAAGACTTTCAAGTACAAATTAGGGTACATTTCTCCTAGCCATTCCTAAAGTGTAGTAATTTTGCCTCCTGTTCTTTTTCCCCAGTGAATACCCTTTTTGACGTGAAGACAGATAAAACCGACTATGTCCTTATGGTTTGTAGAGGTCAACAGGAGTTTTAAATGTGAAAGGACTGCAGCACTTGGTCCTTGTCTAGTTAGCCATTACAGCAAAGACCTGTTGACCCTATAGCTCCTTACCCTATGCTGATATTTTAGGAAGACCACAAAACAGTGTATATTATTCTGAGATTAAGAAAATCATAGAGAAGAAAAGCATGTGTCTGGAAAGCATCAGCCCTAGTGGAGAGTGGACTCAATCAAACTTGGGCAAAGGAAAGTTTTCAACTCTGTTGTCACAAACCAAAAAAAAAAAAAGGAGACTTTTGCACAGTTTCTAGCTACGGTACAAAACCCCATCCCAGACAAGGATCCAGGGGCAGGAAATGTAGTGCAATTAGAATTTCGAAGGAGGAATAACCAGAGGTTGAATTCAATTCCTATTAGAAAATTAATTGTAGCTCTAATTCTACAGAAACTTCAGCCACTTGACATAATAAACAGGCTACAGGTGGAGATCCTAGTGCAACTTCAAAAAGAACAAGGGAAGTGGAGAAATATGAACGACCCTCCTACCCCCACAAAAAGAAGCACTGGAAATAAATCTTTGGTGTAATGTGGAATAGGTGTTCACTCAAAAAAAACATGAAAAATGTATAGATCGACAAGGTATAAGCTTTTCCTGACTGTAAAACTTCTCCAAGATGTAAAATGTGTTTTAAAGAACTACTTATCCTATTGTTAAAAAATGAGCTATGTTTGCTGATACAGAAGCTCATGGCACACAATTTTATCAAAGAGTTGTCTGAAATCCAAATAAATTGTTCTGTGTGAACCTCTGTATTTTTATCAGCTTTGAAAAACTCTAGAAAGATAAAGTCAAGAGAGAAGACGAATCAGAGAGAGCTTTTCTTGCCATCCATAAAGGCAGTGATTTAACACAGTTAGTAAAGCTAACATGGGTGGAAGCAGTTTGCATGAAACTACTGTCAGCAACTTGCTTGAAACACAAAGTGAAACTTTTTTGAGATCTGAAGTGCCTGTTACTCTTCTAAGAATGATTTTGTTCCTTGATTATCCCATTTGCTCCACTTACATTTGGCTGGGATCCGAATGCACAGAATGGCTGACTTTCTCGTGTGCTGAGTTCAACCTCAAGCCAAACGAGTCATAACCTTTTTCAGCAGTTTTTCCCTTGAGTTTTCCAGCCCAGATCTTCGCAGTCATAAGAACCTGAGAAATTGGAAAACTTTTAGATTGCTGAGTGTTCTTCCAGGCTGAAAATCATTGCAGGGAAAACCAAATTAACATACTGCATTCATTTTATTTCAGCATACACAACGCTCTTAAAAAAGGTCAATAGAAAAAAAGCTACGAAATAGCCTGTATTTGAAAACCTCTGAATTTGTGATGTCTCTATTGAATACTCTAACTTCATCTTGATGAAAAATTATCTGTCTCCTGAGACAGTGGCCATTTTGTTTGAAGTTGCTGTTAGGCAAGAGAGGTGCACTCTGTTTCCTCCAAGAACAGAATTACTTTTATTTCTTGCTTTCACCTTGAAATTAAAAGAAAAACAACTTACAGACTGAGAGAAAAGTGGAATGGTTTTGTGTACATACATGCATCCATAGAAATATATATACATAAGCAAAAAAAAAGTAGATAAAATAAATAAACAATCTATAACTACAGATGGTGTTATTATTTGGTACTTGCCTCCATTTTCATATATGTTTTCTTGGAGGGAAAATAAGAAGCCCTGCACTAACAGATGTTGCAGAGCTGCAGTACGGTGTCCACAACACTTCTCCAGAAGCACAGAAATTCCAAGCTTGATCCCTTATAATCACATCAGATGGTATCACTGGTTTGCAAATCATCAAAATTAATAATTTTAATTTGAATTAAACATCCAACTATGGACTTCACTGACTATTTTGAGTAAAATTTCAGCCTTCAACTGCCAGTGCAAACCTACATTTTCTATGACAACTGCCAACTTCCACAAGTGCAGTAAGGGCAATGCAAAAGGCAGTAGAAACGCCCTTACCTTCGTATCCCTATCAAGCAAGCCCATTCTGTCCTTCGGAATAATGCATTGTATGGTATTTTCTACCTTGTTTGGTATTTAGAGGTGGAATTTATTGCCAGGCTTCCTGGCAGCAAGCTGTGCAGGTTGCAGGCGGAGGCTGATGGAGGTGAGTGAATTAATGTGGTGGCTGTTTGGAATGTCGTCCAGCTGCCAGGGAGAATTATGTTTGTTTGCCTTTGGCACAAGTGTGAAAGGAACAGCCGTAGATTTCAGAAGTGTGAGTCTACATTTTTATATCTCACACTAATGAATACATTTTTTTGTATCCTATACATTTGGGGAAATAGTAGAATTTATTTGTAGATTTTATTTACCACTTGTGTGGTAGAGAGGGAATGTTTCCTCAGAGACCAAACTTGTACTTTAGAAAATAGAAAGGAAAAAAGGAAAGAAAAATAAAAAACAAGAAAGAAAGAAAGACCTGACTAATCCAAAATGGTGTCAGTAAAAATGACCCTAATTTCACTATTTTTGTAACTATATCTAAAGTCAGATCAAAGGACAAGGAATTTCAGCAAGCTTTGAAAAGTTCTTCATGTAAGACTTTTCGGGGGGGAAATGTCACTGAAAGACATAATTTTGTATTTGTTTTATGCTGGAATTTTATTTCTTCTGGTCAGATCTTTTCTTTACCTGTAACCTGTTGGTTACCGCAACCTCCTGTTCTATCAACAGAAGGATGATAATTCTATTTGTAATGCGCTCTGATGTGAAAAGTGCTGTAGAAGATTGAATTGTTGCTGCTGATAGGACCAGAAATTTCCTCAACTAGATCTGTCAATAGCTGACACTAAAACAACAAGGTACAAAGTGCATTTGAAGACTGTCAGACACCATTGCTTTTTTGTTTTCTCTAGCAAACTATTCCTTAGATAGCTGACTTGACCTAGTGTTGTTTAAAAAGATCAAGGGCTCAGTGGCTCAGAAAGAAGAAAAAAAAGATGGAAAAGAATAATATTAGCTACTCTATACTATGTAAAGTCTAATGGTCTCTTGTCCCATTACAGTATGCAAATAAAACTGTCATTTATATATCTTCTGTTCTTAATAATACAGAAAGGAAAAAGTTTTTTGGGGTTTGGTTCAGTAATGAACCAAAAATAATAATTTGCAAAATTATTTTTTAATAATGACTTGCAATTACATTATAGGACAGATTTTAAACAAGTAAATATGAATACATATACCTAGCTTCTTAGTTGCTAAGTGCAGATATGTAACTTGCACATATGATCACGAAAACTGCAAATTAAAATAAACTTTGCAATTTAATTTTAATGTTTCTAAATTTGTTGTTTATATATTAATTGTTTGCTGTTAAGATCAAAATATACTATTCAGTGACTATGTGAGGAGAAGCAAATATATTAAACATTAATGAGAAAATAATATGTTGAATTAGTATTCCTCAAACTTTTGTTTCATCCTAACCCTTAAAAAAATAAATGTTTGCAACCCTGATCAGAGTCTATTCCCTTCAAGGAAGGAAAGATGTATTAAGTCACATGACCAGAAGGAGAGAAAAATAGATGTGAGTTTGTAAGCAGGACTATTGTCTTGTAGGATGAAGATGTGAGATACCACATTGGAGATGGGATCAGGGGCAAACAGGTGAGGGCAAGAACAAAGAAGGGGAAAGCAAAAGAAGGAAAAGGCAGGGGGTAACTAAAAGAAACAAGAATAAAAGGAACAATAGAAAACAGGGAGTGGAAGGTAAAGAATGTGACAGAGAAGAAGAGCGAAAAATAAAGGTCAGTGGGGACAGAGAGAGAGCATAAGAAGCCAAGGCGAAAGAAAAATAAAAGAGAATTGCATAAGATAAGGAAGGGTGAAAAAGCTAAAACGGTAGGAAAAGAAACCTCCCCAGATGAGTGTGAAACTGAAGGGGAAATAAATCCCTCAGAATAATCAGTGCTTCCCAATCACACACATGGAACCCCTTTGGTTTACCCTATGGTCATAGCTGTGCAGCCTTGATGCCAAGAGCTGTTTGGAGCTCTGGTCCAGCATCAGAGAGCGTAGGAAAAGATAGCAAAGAGTCCCGTGGCAGTGAAACCTCACCTCTCCCCAAGTGGAGCGCTTCTGCCAACAGACCCAGCTGCAGCCAGCTACGGCTGGAGTCACTTGGTGCTTGCTCTGCAAGCAGGGTGAGCCACCCAAGAGTAGCAGGAGTGTCGCAGGCAGCCAGACCTCTGCAGCTTCCTGTCTGTATGCCAGTGCCTAAGGAGATGAGGGTGGAAGGACAGCTGGAGAACAGAACAGCAGGAGAAATAAGGCAAAGCAAACCCTATTGTAAAAAGGGTCACAAAAAGAGAGTAAAAAGGAAGAGAGTACAAGAGAAAAACAATTAATTGTCATGGCCTCTTTACAGGAAGAAATGACTCCTACTGCAGACATAAGTGATCCCTATGGGAGCTGCAAGTAGGAGAGGCACAGCAAGGAGCCTGCTGTTGCTCTCATGAGCTGACTAATGTACATGAAAGCACAAGAGTGACACACATTTCTGACTAAAATCAAGCCACTTTCAAATGTGGAAATACTTCTGCTAGGGCAGTTAGGTGGAGTATATAAGTATCAGTTCCTTTCTGATCAGCTTTGACCTTTTCTAGAAGGCAAGCCCTTTTTTATTTATTTTGCCAACATGGCTGTATTTGTCAGCAGTATAATTAGTTGAGTCAGTAGAGCTCTGGGAATAGACTTCCAGTTGACATGCGCTCCCT